AGCATGAATGTCAGGGAACCACAACAAGCACAGGGCTGGAAATAGGGCAGGAAAGAGGCTTGTTCCCTATTGCTGGCAGAGAGCTCTGCTCTCAGAGGAGCTCATCTGCCTTGTTGAACCGTCCTATGCATAGCTGCTGCACTTACACTGCTGACTGACACAGGGAGCTCACTTCCACATGCCCCTGACCCAAAGGGCTGGTGGCAAAAGCTGCTGAAGCAGGCGGTGGTGAGCACAACAGCCCTTACAGCAGCATGGCTTGCAAGAAGCACATCCTGGCAAAAAGTGCTCCTTAGTTGGTTGAGCTGCCTCCTTCCTAGGAGCATTTTGCCAATATAATGGTTTCGCTAGTCTGTTAATGCAACTTCTTCAAAGACGGCACAAGAAAATACAAAGTGAGGTGGGCAGACAAATGAACAGAAGAACGAGAACAATGTTCTCTTTTCAACGTTTGTTAGACTTTTGGCATGGTTTGTAACAGAGCTGGCTCACTTTTCAGACAGAATTGCAGCATTTCAATTGATACATTTCCTTTTAGCATGAAGGTCACGCAAGACCAAGAAGTCCATCTTGCAACTTGTCATACGCTGCAGCCTCATGCAAACTTCACTTACCGTGCCATAATCTGAGGTGAAGAGCACGTTTCCATCGGCACATGAGCCAACAGTGCATGGCTGCAGCTGGTCCTGCTCCCGCAGCCATACCCTGGCACCCTGCAAAAACCAGAAGACCTCCCATTAGAAAGAACTGAAGCCTGCGAGATCTGCACACGGGGTGCAAACACCCAAGGAAAGCTGGGGGAAGCTGTGGTATTCAGAGGCTACTTCAGAGCTACAGCTGCTTAAAATTTTTAAGTGAGTCCTACTTACATTTTCAGAGAAACTCGTTTTGATTTTTTTTAACATAACATGAAAGGAAGAAAAAGCAGTTTTAATCAGCTTCATGCGGAAACCAATGTAAGGAAACATCAATTTTTACAAAGAGAGTCACGGAAAAATACAAACATGCAGAATAATGGGCTCGACTGTCTAAATATTTTCAAACTTAAAATAGCCGGTCATTAAAAGTCATGCTATAATAATAATAGAAAATGTAAATAAAGCATGTTTACCATTTCATACACCCACACATCACTGTAGGTCAAAATCCTTCTAGAAATCATCAGCAATAGTGAAGTAGACTTCACAGAGCTTTGTCTGGCTCTCTTGCAAGAGTTTCCTTGGGTAAATGACATGACTTGAGTGTTTCTCTGATGTATATATACACTGATGTATATATGACGGCCCTGATGTTTCACACACAGTTTCACACACACTACAAGATCTTAAATTGCTCAGTGTCTCTCAAGACAACCCTAAGCACAAAGGCAGACTTCTGGTAACACATATGCAGGGACCTGCAGGGCAAGCAGAGCTCATAGCTCACCTACCAAAAAAGTGCAGGGGAAATCAGTTTGCTGGATTGGCCCTTTTTGTCCTGCCTGACTGT